GCGCGCCTCGCCGCAGGGCGTGGGGGGACGTGTCGTGCGGAGGGGACGAAGCTGGATCTCTCCAGCCTGGTGAGATGTGCCGGTCACTCGCCGTCACGGTAACCTCTGGGGCACTCGGTGTGTCTCTGCGTGGGTGAAGCACCGGGCGAGTCCGAGAAGTTCGACCCCGTGGAAAGAGAGTGCACCGCCTGTCCGCACTGCCACGTATGTGGTGCCACCGAGCAACCGGGAACCGAGTGCTGCGAGTGTATTTTAGCCACACACAAAGCCAGCAGAGCCTCAGTTTTGCAGGCACGCCTGGCTGGCTGGCCGTGAGCTTTGCTGGGGGTGGGATGCACCAGGCTGTGTGCTCAGGATCCTTTCAAAAGGAGTGTGGCCAGCAGGCCAAAGGAGGTGATTCTTCCCCTCTACTCTACTCTCGGGACACCCCACCTGGAATACTGTGTGCAGTTCTGGTGCCCTCAGTGTAAGGATATGGAACTGTTGGAGCAAGTCTAGAGGAGGCCACAAAGTTTTTAAAAGGACTGGAGCATCTCCTCTATAAAGACAGGCTGAGGAAGTTGGGGCTGTTCAGCCTGGAGAAGAGAAGGTTGTGTTGAGACCTCACAGCAACCTTCCAGTATCTGCAAGGGCTACAAGGGAGTCGGAGAGAGAGTCTTTGTTAGGAACTGCAGTGACAGGACAAGGGGCAATGGGTACAAATTGAAGGAGGGGAAATTGAGGCTTGATAGTAGAAAAAGGTTTTTTACTATAAGGGTGGTGAGACACTGGCACATGTTGCCCAGGGAGGTAGTGGATGCCCCAACCCTGGCAGTGTTCAGAGCCAGGCTGGATGAGGCCTTGAGTAACCTGGTCTGGTGGGAAGGTGTCCCTGCCCATGGCAGGGTGTGTTGGGACTACACGCTCTATAGGGTTCAGTCCAACTCCTAAAATTCTATGATTTGGGAAGAGGCCGTGGGGCTTGGACCACTACTTTGGAGGCATCTGCATGCTTTGCAGTCAAAACCAGCAAGAAGCCAATGATGCTGACAGTGGTTTCTGAGCAGGAGTAATCAAATGGCATGAGAGGGTTTTGTTTCCTGTGTTGACTTGAGCAGTGGTTGAAGTTCCACTCCATTCACTCACCCCATTACTAAAATGTAGTTGGTTGCCCTTTGTGACACATTGAGCAGCTAATTTCTAACAGAATGCTCAATTTTTCTCATTTTTTTTTCACAGATCTGTGCAATTGCTCATGTAACTGCCAAAAAAATGCCAACCCTTCACCGACATGAGGAAGAGAAATTCTTCATAGGCGCTGAAGGCAGGAAAGAGCCTGTACCAAGTATACATGATCCCCCTACAAGGGAACTCTCTGTCGTTGTGCCTGCATACAATGAGGAGGACCGGTGTAAGATTTTCCTTGTTTTGAGAAAAAGGAGGAAATCTCTAAGTTGTTACTCTAATAATGCAGAGATGAGTTATGTCAGCAGTAGATTCTGTATCAGGTTTTGGACACAGCTTCCAGAAAACAGTACAAGTACATGGAATTTCAAAATTAAGACATTGTGTAACTTGATTTCTGCTGCTAAAAATGGCATGGGGCACTTGGAAGAATCCTCCTTATTGTAATGACGTCCAGCAGAATGGCTGCTTTTTGCCCTTATGAATGCTGCAAGGCATGAAGTAGAAAAAGACTTTTACAGTTGCTTTGAGAGCCTCCCACTCTTCAAACAACAGCAGCAGCTTCAGATGAGCAGGAAACCGTGATCTCACGGGTTTGTGTTTGACTTGGCCATAGATAGAAGTACCTGATACTGAGCGAAGGCTTTCAGATGTGACAGACTTAATCAAGCTGTAAAGCCAATGTGGTAGCACACAAGCTGTCAGCTTCCTTAAATAAAGTCAGTGCTGGTTTGCAGGGTCAGTCATGAAGAATGATTATTTTTTCCTTTCATGTTGTGTAGAGAATTACATATTGCAAAATGAAAACTTAGCTGTTCAGAAAGTCTTTATCCTGCCTTTTATCATGTGTGTGATTTTCCTCAGTGTTCTTTTTGCATTCGGAAAGGACAGCACTTAGAGTTGCACCTGCTAAGCTTGTTTACTTAAAGTAGCATTGTATGAAAGAGTCAATTTGCTCAGTTCTGCTTTGTGCTTGTTTTCAGCTTGGTTGTTCAGGTGCTTTTGGTGCTTTGCCTGTAAAAATATACTTACCTGACCTCCTTAACCTTTTCTCTAGTACCTCTTATGATGGATGAAGCTTTGGATTATCTAGAAAAAAGACAGGTATTTTTATTTTGCCTTAAAAATTATTTACTTTTCTACGTATTATGTATAATAAGTCAGTGATGTAGTCACTTTGTCATTTTGGTGTATGTTAAAACAGCAATACTGGGCCACTTAGAACTAACACTTCTGTGTCTTGTCAGTTATTTTTAGATCAAATGCCAGAAAGTATTTTTAAATTAAGTGAAAATTTAATATACTATTATGGAATGAAAAAAATCTTTGTATGCATGATATCTCTTCAAGACAGAGCTAAGGATTAACCATACGTTTAACTTTCTGGACTGAATCCTGTTTTTTTCCAACAAGTTTCTTAAGCATCTGTTCTTCATTAGGCCTTTTTTCCCTGAGTAAGAAGCCTATTGTGAAAGTTTGTGGATTTTGTTTTCTTGGGGATAACATAACATAACATAACAGTGATGTTGTTCTGAGCTTTCATTTTTTACAACTAAAGTGATTTTTTTAGTTTTAGATGGTAGCGTGACAAGCCAGTGTGATGGTACATGCATCAAATATGGAAAAATTCTTTAATTATGCCATCTTAACAAATTTGCTACATCATATTAGTGTCTGTTGGCAACCATGAATGACTTAAAATCTGCTAGGGAGAAAAGAATTACGATATTTGAAAGACCTATTTAAGACATTGGATGAAATGCATTGTTTCTGCTTTTATTTTCAAGAAACGAGATCCTTCATTCACTTACGAAGTGATAGTGGTCAATGACGGTAGTAAAGATCAAACTGTAAAGGTAAGAAAAAGAAGAGTCTTCCCAGGCAACCAGAGGTGTGGATTTTTGTACTGCATTTGTGGAATGTAACAATGTTGTGCGTTTATATTTTGGCATTTGAATTTGTTGACAGTTGAAGTTCATATTTCTGGATACTTTCTGCCATTGTCCTGTCTGCACCGTGGATGTCACATATACACATGAATACATGTATCATTCTTTTGCAAGTTCTAGTGTTCTTGACTGGGGACTGTGACAGCCTCTTTGCTGCAGCTGAGATTCTGAGAATCCTAACCTCAAGAAATTTCTTATGAAATATTCCACATGGGCCTAGGGATGTGAATATGAACTTCAGAAAGTTAACTTTCTTATGAAATATTCCACATGTGCCTAGTGATGTGAATATGAACTTCAGAAAGTTAAAAAGTCTCTTAAAATACCTGATTCATACCGTGATGGACAGAACAGCTGACATGTTGTATAGTTCTTTGCCATACCCTTCATTTAAAAATCCACGTGCCAGGAATAGTATTTTGAAAACAGTTCTGTATTCTTCTGCCTTGACTTTGATGTATGTCACTGGAAAGGAAGGCTAGCCAGCTTGGGGGTTTGTTTTACTACTGCTTGGAAGATGTTTGAATTAGCTACTAAAATGAATTCTGCTTCTTGATTCATTTTGCTTAAGCTTGTCCATTAAGGATTGCTCCTACATATTTCTGTCTGCTGTGCATTCCTCTAGCGTCTTGATTAACTGTGCACACTAGAACCATGGGCCTCTGCACTTACAAGGACTGGAAACAACCTTTAGAAATAATTGAGAGAAAACTCATGCTTTCTGTTCCCCACAACGTGGGAGAAAATGTGCATTTCCTTGCAGCATGAATGAGGTTTTAGATCACAGTGGATTTTTGTTTAAAGCCACAAATACCAGCAAGACAAGTGAGAAATAGATAGCTGGAGTAGAAAATTGTATTTCTTTTATTAACTATTGGTCTTCATGTAAAAGGTGTGTAATAGTATGATATGAATTAAATTAGGATTGAGTTTTTTTGGAGGTGGGAGGATGGGATTTGGAATTGCTTGGGGGAATATCCTGTTCTTGTTGAACGTGACTAGTTTCTTCAGTCTTCTTATTTTGACTGTGAACTGGTTTTTATTTTCCCAAACAGATTCCAGCGAACGCTGGCAATGTATTTGTGCCGACTGAAGTGCTTATAGCTCTGTGCTGTTAATTATTTTTTTAAAGGGTGAGCAAATGTTAACTTCTACCTTGATTTCTAGTTTTGTTTTATGCTGGTTTTTTGTATGTCTATCAGGTTGCATTGAAGTACTGCAAGAAATATGGAAGCGACAAAGTGCGAGTGCTTCCTTTGGTAAAAAATCGAGGGAAAGGAGGAGCAGTCAGGATGGTAATTGATACTTTCATCTCCTTCCGTGTTTGAACTGCCTGTGCCAAATATGCAGAAGATAGAGCTGTGCTGATTGACATATTGAATTCAATGCATTAATAAAATGATCATCAGAAAAATCAGTACAGATTCTATAATTCAAGGCAAAAACTCTTTTCAAAATAAACTAATTTTAGATCTTGGAAACAGTATTTTCTTGCCAGGAAGATTTATTTTTTTTAAGTGAGTATATAAAGGGGGAAAAAAATACTTGAACTTCATATTCCTGTTAGTTCCACTTAGAAATAGGTTTGTGTTTATAAAAGCCAACAAAACAAAAAAACCTCCCAAGCCGTTATGGATTAAAGTTAAGATTTTGTAGAGAAAATGCAGTTAAATTTGCTAACTTTGCTCTCCAGGTCATAGCTGTGGTTTTTATAATGGCCAGTAAACAAACACTCTCATCCAGCAAAGTTTGTGTTTACTGAAGCCCACTGCTATCACCCACACTCAATAGTAGAAGCAGCACAAGTTAAGCTTTCACATGGACATCATGAAATCATCATGGTCTGAAAATAAAATAGCTGTTGCACATTTAGGAGGAACAATTTTTTCCTAAGATGAATGGCGCCTTACTTTTATGGAAGAGGGTGGTATTGTTTATGGGTTATCAGTGACTTGTCTTAATCTGTATTTTAAGCTCTAGCTTTAATATCTCAATTATTTTTTAAGAAAAATGAGCAGCTATGGCAAGTGGAGAGAACATTATATTAGAACATACAGAATTTTGTAAGTGATACACTTCTGAAGTTATTCCAAGAGAATGAGACAGTTCTTTTTGTGTCGTATGTTTTTGCACGGCAGAGTGCAGAGTGGATGTGTACACAACTACTTCCTTTCCAAACTCATGCTTGTTTACAACAGTACTTTTGTCAGATCCACTGCTAGTTGTTTTCTTGTCTGAACCCGTTCAAAAGTTGTCAAGTAAGTCTCACCAAGAATATGGCAAAGCAAGCCGTGAGACCTGTGCGTCACAAGTGTTTTGCAGCAATACCATGGCTTAAGACTTAATCTTAAATTAGTTCTGAGAAATAGCTCTTGAATTCTCTTGGAACAGTGTTAGGAAAAACTGGCACTGCATCCTCCTTTCCACAGCCCAGTTGACAGAGAAAAGCCATCCACTGCAGTGGCACTGGATGTGTGCTAATCATGCTCCCTTCTGTAGCTGACTGTAGCAACTTGTCTTGGATTTTGGTTTGTACAGCTTCTAGTTTTCAAGCTTCTCTTGAGAGAGATTAACTTTTGTGTGAACCGTTGTTAACTTTTTGTGTTCATGCACTGTCTGTCACTGCCGGACACTGCTCAGTGTATGGAGTCTCTAGCTGTTACTGCAGTATAAATTGGCAAACTTTCTAGTAGCAGGAATTAAGATTCACCTGCTCTGTCGAATCTTTGAGATATCACTGTTCTTGTTACCACATTAGGTTTCTGGAGTGTCTAGCTTACAACACATTTGATTTCAATGGTGTTGATTTTTATTATTTTCATTGTAGGGTGTCTTTAGTTCTCGGGGAAAAAAAATTCTTATGGCTGATGCAGATGGAGCTACAAAATTCGCAGATATTGAGAAAGTAGAAGATGGTCTAAAAAGTCTCCAGCCATGGCCTGTGAGTATAAATTCTCATGGTTTTAGTTTAATACACATGCATACAGACTGACTTTTGGAATTGTCTTGACCTTGAGCTTTTTGAGATCTGGTTGAAGATGTAGGTGTAAGTCTGAAGACTGAGGTGTAACCTTAGAAGACTCAAGAATGGCCTGTCAGAAGGAACTTCCACAGAGTTCTTACCTCCTTTACATCCACTGTGCCTGTTTCAATGCAGTACAGAATATTCTTCCTTTGAAGTTGTTCTATTCTGTATAAATACCATGTGTTGCCTACTCAGTTAAAAAACAATTTTTTCTTGGTTAACCATTGTGTATTTTCTTTCTATCTGATGTCATCCTATGTACCTCTAAGGATGCATCTTATTTTCACCCTCTTTTGTAGAGGTTCTCTTTTCTCAGGGTCATTAGTTTAATGACAGTATTTGGAAGAACTTTTAATTGTAAATAAAAATTCAAAAACCTGTGGAACAAGAGTTCCTCCCTGCATAGTCATTCTCTTTTGGGCACTTGACTTGAAAGAACTGAGATTTATTTTCTGCTTGAACACAGATGAGTGAGGTACTTGTAGCTAGTTTCCCAGAGTGCCAGAAATCACGTGCAGCCTTCCAGCCTGAGCTGCAAGGGATGTGCCTGTGGAAAGGGTCATGGTCTGCAAGTGCAGGAGCACAAGTGCAGGAGCCAACAGGCAGTGGTGTGACCCTGATGCTCTTCGCTACCAGGGCAGCAACAGCTGCTGATTGAGCAGCAGTCCCACACTCTCAAATATATTTGATTTAAGAGATTCTGTGTGAGACATAGTAGTAATCTCTCTTGAGAATAATTTTAAGTCTTTTGTGTTGATCATGTCAGTTTAATTTGAGAGAATATTTTTGGTTGATACCATGACATTTTATTTGTTTGAAGGTATCACGGTGCAACAAGTACGTTGTTCTGTTATCCCTTCCATAGTGCAATATTTAGGGAAAACATACATTATAACATCTAGTATCTAGGAATGCTGCATGCTTATCTGTGCAGTTCAGCACATTTACCATATGCATACCTCAGACAAACAATATAAGCTAAACCAGACCTGAATAAATTGAAGCAATTTTTATGCACCATATCAAATTGTAATAAACTTTAGATTGCCTGTTAATTATAGAAAAGACTGATTTAGGCTCAGAATCTAGCAATAGAAGAAGTGCAGCTACAGGAAGCAGGAAAGTATACTGCTTTGAAGGTTTTTGTTACATGGTTCTCAACAGAAGATTGCACTGATTCAGAAACTCTTAGTTAAGTAATGACTTTTTAATTTATATTCCTATACAGAACCAGATGGCTATTTCCTGTGGTTCTAGAGCTCATCTGGAGAAGGACTCTATAGCAAAGGTTTGTTTCCATTTCCTGCTGTGTACTAATGTACAAGTACTTCCATTATTTGTTTCTGTTCCACAGGCTTTGCAATTAAATGATCAATATTTGTAAAAGAATGGAAGCTAAAATTAAGGAAGAGCTTGTCCTAAGTGTAGGATGTGCTCCATCATATACAAAGAATGTGTTCTGAATTTCAGGCACTTTGAACTGATTTCAGTTAGTGTTCCAATTTATGGTTTTAATTTTCCTAGTTGAGAACGTTTTAAAGCAGAGCTGCTAATCCCTGACAGAACTGGTAACTAGTAACCAGCACTGGGGCTGGAGTGGAAGGCAACCGATGAGTTCATTATTATTGATTCCCTTCCAGTGAAAGGGCTTGATCTGCAGATCTTGAAACCTGGTTAAAATGAATTAGGAATAATTAGCAGCCAACTGTTTGGAGAGTATCTCAATTTCTGGGAAAGTGCTGTAATTTTTCTGTATTACTCATAGTAAAATTTTCAAGTTTTGAGCCCACTGCCGGTGCTGTTCTATGTGTGGCTCTTGTGGAATAAACAGTAATGCATAGGCTCACAGCCTTATCTTGCATCTGGTGTTCTGATGTCTTGGCAGACAGTAGTTGACAAAGCACAGGCATGGAACTTGTATTGCAGCAGGCACGTTGCTGGGCTCATTTTTTCAGCATCATTGGATGTGCTCGTCATGTTGAATGTTCTCAAGAGTAAGCTGTGTTTATACTGATGTTTAGTACCTCAAATCATTCTGACATATATACACGACTACTAAAATAGTTACAAAAGTTCAAAAGAAGTTACACTGATAATGTTCAGCCACTGGTAGGTCTGTACTTTTTTTTTCTAGTTTATCAGATGAAATTCAAGTGGTTCAGTGGAAAGAGTTCTTGCAAATACTGCTGTATGTTAGCATCCTCACCAAAAAAAAAAAAAAAGAACAAATCCAAACCCAGCATTATCAGAAACTAGAATAAATCTCTGGCATGGTACTTGAATGCTTGTAGCACAGAATATTCCATTTGCAGTTACCAGTCAGCTGTGCAGGCAATGTATCCTGGAAATGTTGCTGCTATGGGACGATCATGTAGGTGATAAATTTGAGCCCAGAAAAAATGCTTCATTGTGTGGTCAGGTGCTGAATGTAGATAAACTTTCTCCAGTGCATTCCTATTTCTTTTCGTGTTTGAAGGTCTTTACATAAGGGAGAGGAATTGGAACAGGACTTTTTTATTACAAGAGTATAATTTTTAGGATGTGTCCATCCTTTGCTTCCTGTTTTTCCCCATATTTCTGACTTTTTGATAAAGGAATCACCTACTGGTTAGGTAATGCTGTTTGTTTTAAATATGTAGCCTATTTTGTTTCATTACCCAGCTGCCCCTAGACTGGAACAGAAAGACTAGCTTTACTACAGTGGGAAGAGACTGTCATGTAGTGCAATAGGTATAAAAATATTGCAGAACAATCTTTTAGATGTTGGGATTTCTCTCTGGACTTAGCAGCATCTAAAACAACAGAATGAAGCTGTGACAAGCAGCTGTATGGGATTTATAAAGACCAGAATTCCACCATTAAATGCAGTCTCAAGACATCAATAATTCTGTTCTGCCTTCAGAATTGTTAATGTACTTTAATGAATCCATAATATGACATGCATAAATAGTCTTAGGAGTGATAAGGAACTCCTCTTTGTGAAGTAAGTGCACAATTTCAGTGTCTGACAATCATGCAGCCTCTTAGCTCTTCCCTTTTGGCACTAAGTAGTAGCCTTGTGTTCGTGGTCATAGAACCAAAAGAGCCAAAGAAGCCACACCAGATCCACCATTAAGGACTGGAGCACTTTTCACAAGGCCATTTTCCATGATATTTGGTTTGCAGTCTTAGATACAGTGACTTAAATTGAGTTTACAGCCAGCAGTGAGTTCAGAAGCAATTTGTGGATCAGAATTCTAGCTTGTTAGGAGCTGCTTTGAATAAAAGACTAAGAGGGACCTCTACAAAACCAGACTCCGGCCTCTGGGGTCCGTGGACAAACTTATCTGTATGATTATTGTGTCCAGAACAGAAGTATAACCAAAGAGTAGGTTGGGAGAGCATATATTGGGAACATAAAATGTATCTGTGAAAGCAAAGTGTGAACAGAGATGACTGTTTAACACTGCTGGAAATATAAAGTAAAATATTATCTTGCACAGCAGCTGTTACTTTAGACCTGGTTTTCACTTGGTCCATCATATACTGCAAAAAAAGTGCATTCTGCAATTGCATTCCCTTAAGTGCTTTAACAAGGTGTGTACAAGCTGTGGAAATCATTCAAGCTTGAATAAATGAAGTGGGTGGCAAAGAACAAGATATGCTTCCATTTGGGCTTTTTAATAATACACAACTTCTTTAATTTCTGTGTAAATGTAGCAGCTGGAACCTGTTTAGTTTAAGTGTGTATTTTTAAGAGTAGCACCCTTTATGCAGTCCTGTGGGCTTATTCTCTGCTGTCTGTCCTGGCCACTTTTGAATTTTTTGCATCTGTTCAACCAGTTTTCAGAAAAGGAGGACTGGGCAGAGCGATAAATAGCTTGTAAAGTGTCCAGTGAAGTAGAGCTTGGGGCATACTATCCCATTCCTTCTTCACTCTTCTTTTCCTGGGGGAATTCCCAAAGAACCATTCAGAAGATGCTGTGGTTGACTCGCTCATTATTTGAAATCCAGGTGCAGGTTCCTGCTTTACTTAGTAAGGCATTATTCAGAGTGAGAAGCTGCTCTGAATTGGGGAAAGCAGAAGTAAGAACTTGGACTTCTCCTACCCTAAGCATACTAACCATGCACTTGACTGGCTTGTCATTCCCTTTCAGCTGTAATTTTTTTCACTGCTAAAACTGGTAAGTTCTGGTTTTGTTCCAGTTCAGAACAAAACCAGTTCACAAACTCTGAAAGCTATGACAATAAAGGATTCTTGTCCTCTAACACAGCTATGTTCACTCATCACTTAAATGAAAGCATCTAACTTCTTGCCTTTTGTCCACAGCGCTCTTACTTTCGAACCCTTCTTATGTATGGGTTCCACTTCCTTGTATGGTTTCTCTGTGTCAAAGAGATCAGGGACACACAGTGTGGATTTAAACTTCTAACCAGAGCAGCTGCCTCTCGGACTTTCTCAACTCTTCACATAGAACGCTGGTAAATTCCTTTTATTGTTTTGGGGTTTTCTTTTTTAATAATTGAACATGGCTTTGAAAAAGTGATTTTAGTATTGCAGCTACTTTGAAGCATGTATAGTCTGGGTATAAATCCTAGTTGCTCAGTTTAGCTAGTTACAGTCCTGCTTGCATGGCAACTTAGATTTCTTGTTTTGTTAAAATATCCTGGTAATTGCTAGAAATTCTATGTCTTACTAAGATATATTTTGGGAAAATAGTTGGGCATTTAATTTTATTCTTTAGTTAATTTTATTCTCTTTTCTCAAAAGAGTTTTGTAGTACTAGGCAGGACATTTTGGTTTTGCCTTGTCAGAGCAAATAGGCATTGGTTAGGAAAGGGGAGAAAAAAGAGGGGGAAAAAAGTCCCCAAACAACAGAAAATGCCAGTAACTCTTCTCTCTTCACCTCCAGAATAACTTCCAAACAAACAATCTTTGATTGTGTTATAATCCACTTCCTATTTCTGAGAGTCAAAGAATCATAGAATCAGCTAGGTTGGAAAAGACCTCCAAGACCATCGAGTCCAACCCTACCGTGGTTACTAGACCATGGCACTAAGTGCCACATCCAGTCTCATCTTGAAAACCTCCAGGGATGGTGGATCCACCACCTCCCTGGGCAGCCCATTCCAGTCCTCTGTCCTTTTACACATATGAGCCATGCAAGCAGAGTAAGAAATGAAGAGAAGCTGTTACTCTGATAAGGAAAGTTAAGAGTTATTAATCTTATTCAAAATGCTTATTAGTCTGTTTTTATACATTGCAATTCAGTACTGCTTAACCAAAACATTTTACCTAAAATCAGTATCTGATGTTTGTAATTGCTGAAGACTCAAAGTGAAGGCAAATGCCTATTTGTTGCTTGTTTTCTTGCTAAAATATTTTCTGAGTGGACTACTAGTAGATATTAAGACAATAGAAAATGATGCATAGTCTTTGAATTACTTTAGAGCTCCTTTTGTTGTCATTTAGCCAGAACTGTTCCCTTATGAGAGTGATTTAGTCATGACTACTGTTATGGGACTGAAGTACTGGTTCCACACAAATAACCATAATTTCTGTAAATTTCCTACACCACAAGTGTTTCTAAAAAGGATAGTTTAATTAAGTGTAATCCAATCTTTTCAAACTATTGTCTTCATTCAAGAAAATCTCTCTTGGGCTCCTGCTTGCTGACAGGGAACAGTTTCACTAAAGTGTGCAATCTTACAGTGCTAGTCAATTCCAATACATCTAGTTTCAGGCTGAGCTTTGACAGTGGTAGTTGAGCTATATTGCTCCTCCAGAATGGACTTGCAAAGGTAGTGCTTGGGTACACATATCTGGTATGGAATATTGAATTCAGCATTCAGTTCTTCTGCTGAGTTGAATCTAGAACTGTGAGCAGTCAATGTTTGGGGAATCGCTTTCCCATGTGAGTGGTTTGCTTATTGCTCTAAAGGAAACTAGAGCTGAGCTGGATGTATGATTCGTGCTGCTACCTCCAAAATCAAACTTCATCCATAAAGTTCTGTGCATTTCACATAGAGGTGTTTTCTGAATACATGGTTAAACACATATGCAATGTCCAGAAGTGCATATCTCAAAATTGCCCTATTTAACTTCACTTTATAAATTAAGCTTTCCAAGAAGAAAACTGAAAGAAGTAAATGAGGATAATCAGTTTAAGCTGTAAAAATGCAATCTTCAATCTTACTCTGTTTTTAACTGAAGATGTCGATTGTAACTGCACTTACGTGTTATATAAAGTGTTTTCTACAGAAAAAAATCTTAACCCTTTCTTTTGCCATTTTGATTCTTTAGCAACAAAGGAAGAGTAAAAATAATTGTGCTGTACCTCATTATACAGGAACAGAGGCTATGAAAAAGGGATATTATTAGCTTTTTTTCATAGTGATTATATTGCTGATGTGGAACACAGCAGATCTTCCTGTCGTCATTCATTATGCTTGTATGTGCTGCTATAAAATCAGTATTCTGTTCTTGTTCTTTTATTTACAGTAATCCATAAACTAATCCTCTGAATGTTTTCTTACTCATCTGAAATGTGCTGGTTAGTGATGAAGAATGTTTGTTTTGTTTGTCAAGAAAAGAATAACTCAGATTCTTCCAATAAAGAAGCTCTTCAGATACTTCCAAGTCACAAATTTACCTAAAAAAATAGGGTTGGTTTTTTAATTTGGTTTAATTTTCTGCCAAAATAGGCAATATATTGTCCTTTTTTATCCTTGTCTGTCCTTCAACAGTCTCTGTGTTTCCCTGCCTTCATTTTTATACTTACTGGCTAATTTCAGCCAAATCTGACAGAACAGTAGAGATTTCAAGATCGAATGTATTGGCAAGTTTCGTGGAAACTGAAACTCCTGTAGAGGAGAGAAACTCAGATTATTGCCACTGCTATGGCAAGAAAAAAAAACCAAACACTACAATAAGGACTCAAAAGTTACTTATGAGCTTCACAACCAGTCATTTAGCATGTGTAACTGGAAGATAACATGGCAGAGCATGAAACAGTATTGTCTGTTTCCCAGTTAATATATTTAAGATCTAGAAATAAACTGGGAGATGGGTACGTATAAGTATGTGGGGAGAGTGGCTATATTAAAGGACATTGTAGTCCTAAGTGAAATGCTGGTGCTGTACAATTAGTTGGGATAGTTGTAGTTGGAAATTATATAGGGATGTCAAACATGCGTGCCATAGAACTCCCATTATATTCCTTTCTGTGTAAGCATCTGAAATAACCCAATAGTGGAACCTTCTTATTTGAAACAAATCTGGCCCCTGATACCTTTCCATTGCCTAAAATGTGTGTAAGAAGGAAAATAAAAGCTGTTTAGATATCATGCCTTAGAGGTTCTGTACATAACATGAGTATGAAGACATAAGAGGAAGAAATAGTAGTCAGTATGGTATTTCTTCTGTCCTGGAACAATGTGGGGTCTCCAGCTGGGTCACAAAACAGCTCATTCACACTGAGACCAAAAGCAAGAGGCTGCAGGAAAAAACGGTGTCTTGATATTGAATAAGGCTCTGAAATCTGAGTTTATTACTGCCTCTGCATCGCTGCACTGGGACTGTTTGACATCTGAAGAAATTATTTGATTCTCTTTGAATCTGAAAAGCCCACGAGTGAAGCACAGCACTGTTAGCTGTGGAAATAGTTCAGTTCAGTATGGTCAGTGCTCAAATGTTCTGGGAATAATAGAGGAGAGTGCTGGAGAATACTCAAACTCAGCTATCACCTTAGTCCCTGAGCCCATCAAGGGGTCCCCAGCTGCTGCACTGGACTGGGTGATGAGCTAGTGAAGATAATGGACATGAGGCTTCTGCAAAAAAACCAAATCATCTGTCCTGTCTGCTCAAGTTTTGTCAGACCTGGAATTTTTTGGGGTACTGCAGTGTTAAGTGAATTCTTATATGAGCACATAACGAATACTTAGTCTAAAAGTAATGCATTATGTATTTACTCATGATGTCAATATAAAATTACTATAAAATTGGCTAACAATTCCTGCCTGCTTAGATCTTCACTTTTTTACAGTTTCTTCAGGCTCTTTCTGTTCCAGTGGATATTGATACAAGTATCACTTCTTTAGTGTTAAAAATACTAGAAATTAGACCACATTTTTCTTCTTGCTGTGCTGAATTTGATTTATCAATGCTTAGGTTTAAGAAATCTTGAAAGCAAACTGAGGCGTAGAAGGAAAAAAACCTGTTTTATCATTATGGCAGTAAGGAATATTTAACACTTTTTAAAGAGAGACCAAGGTAGTTCCTAGAAAATTTTCTTAATCTAGCCCTAAAGTTTACAAGGCATTTGAAAGTTAATAGATACTGCAAACTGTTTATATATTTGGTACTAAAAAATAATGCTTACATCCTAAACCAGCTTTTTTTCTTGTGAGTGTTCTCATTGTCTTTTTTGTTTAGCTGCCCTTTGGAGAGTTGGCTGTGTATATATGAATACAAACCAAACATTCCTGAAATTTACTTTCTAAATAGCAAAGTTTTGACATTAGTTTGAATTGAGAGCAACCTTTTGAACACGGAGCATATGCTTTGTGTTTTAGGTTCTGAATCTGATTACACTACTAATCTGTTTTCAGAAATGGATGGTGCATGTTTTCTAATTTAAAACTTAAAAGAAAATTAAAAGGGATATTATAAAAATATCATAGAGACAGTTGGAATTACTCACTTCAGGCTGCAAAAAAAGTCTAGTTCTGCATCTGGTCTTGACCTGAGAAATGTAACTGTCTTAAATTTTGATAACACAGGAGGAAAATTGGAAAATAAAAAGGTCTCATGGGCAGAATTTTCCTATGCTAAATTTATTCATTGATTTCTTCTGATGACAAAATAAACCCTGATAAATTTTCTTCCAGCCAGAAAACATTTGTCCTTAGCTGGGAGAGCTGGACACAGCTGTGATTACTGTCATACCTGGAATAATGATTAAATGAGGGGAAATTCAAAAGACAGTCCTAGACCTGGTTTGATTGACATTCTTTTGTAAAGTGGCAATTTGTAATGATACTGCACAAACCATCAGGTCACTGATCAAATCAAATTGTTGCTATTACTTTTGTCTATAAAAATTGCCTTGTGCACTGAACAAGCTGTGCTGTTTCACATTCTAAACTTGAAAGCTCAATATCAAAACTGATGTTTGTTTCTCCAGTTTGTCACTGTTCCCCTAAACATAAGTCTCTATGTAAAAATTGCAGAAAAATAAGCATTCATATTGCTACAGGGTTTTTTTGCACTTTGGCGCTGTATTCCAACACAAGCAGTGGAATGCATTCTTTTTTTCCTGGTTTTGTGCATGGCAAGTAGAATTGTTTATGAATGTCTAATCAACACACAAATATTTTGCTGTTTTGCCGTGTAAAAAATCCTGCTCCTGGCAGACATATGTGGTCTTCCAAAATCCCCAGTTTAGCTAGAGCAGTGCTAGCAGTCTAACCCACTTGACATCCTGTTTCATTCTTAGACCTCTTTGACCATTGGAAGTTTTCTCTGCGCATTAAGAGTTTGCTGGCAAAACATATCTTGGGCATACAGTATAACTGAAGGCCTGATTTTGATTTTTTAGAGCACATAACATTGGGCCAGGAAAAAAAGAAAAAGCCCTAGTGCAATTTTAAAATAAAAAAATAATTTTTTAGCATAGATATTTTATAAGCTGAATCTCAGATTTAAGGGTTCAGTTTAAAAGGACTGAATTCAACTAAACACCTACCGACTTGGTGTTCGACTGAATCTTAGCCAGCATTGTCTTAAATTGTAACCCCATGGAGAAATTTTTCTTTATTTACATTACCTGTTGGTGTTAGTCGACACATTATGGAGCTACTATTAGCACTAAATGGGAAAATTGTTTGCCCCGTTTATTTTTGAGTGTCTAACTTTGTGTACTTAGGTTGTCAGGCTGGAGCTTAACTTAGTTATTTTGAGCTGCATATCCTGCAGAGGCACCTACTTTCACTCTCTGCCGTAGGATCCAGTGAAGTACGTGGTGTGAATAGTACCTTGCTGTTTCCAGGAGAGGTTCAGTCACACTAACTAGTCACAAATGGCTTCATGGCACTCACTAATTCATCTGCTGGTGTGGCTTTGATCTCCTCTAGGGTAGGTTCCGTCTAACATAGCCACTCCTAAATCCTGACTGTGGAACCTTCTGTATGGTTCTGTACCATCCAGATCTGGTGATCTGCAGTATTGGTGTGATGTTGTCAGTATATTGAATACACTACAATCTGTATTCCCTGATGAACTCTTCTGGTGTACTGAAAGGTCATGGGGAAGAAGGAAGAAAAAAGATTAACTCAGAGATGTTGTGCTGAAGTCATTCTCCTTTCAGCTTTGAATAGGCTTTTTTAATTTCAGGATATGTTCACTGTTAGCCAAATGGCAACCACATGTAACAGTATTAGTGTTCAACCTGATTAATTCCTGTGCTTTTAATCTTTTACTTTGAGCATCATAGTTCACAGAACTATTTAATGTTGTTTTTCTGTGATGTGCATGCTGACATTCCAGTAATCAGCTGTCCACAGAAATTGTTGCAAATAACTATTAGTTCACTAGGCTAATACTTTATGTAGTAATACTTTTAGAACAGCTCATATAGTCTTAATTCATGAGACAATTATTCTGCGTCTCTTAAGATTTTTAGTCATTTAAGTAGAAAGTATTAGAAAATTGGATTTAGTCTTAATACACATGATTCATAAGCATTCAAAGGTGAATACATGGGGGGTTTGGCTTACAAATGTAAAATGTCAGCAAAAAAATAAATAATACAACTTCAGTAAAAGAGGCCATGGCATAATTAATAAAATAATATTCAACCCTCCCTTAAAGAAAACAGTGAAATGGCAAAGCTGCTCGGAGCAGATTCAGTTCACTGAGGTTAAAAAAATATATTCCTGTAACTTTTTTGGTGACAAAAGCCTGTGTCCAGTCAAAATCAGGTGTACAAAATAGTTCTCAATTCTCTATACACAGTAACTGTAGGCTCCATAGATAAGCTCTCTTTATGCTGCCTTGGCATGTTCTGGTTGCTGCCCAGAGTGATATCAGTAGCTCTCCTGTAACACACATGGAGAGCACGAGTTCAGGTCGATGCATGTCTGCCTGTGATTTCACCAAGAAGCCAGTGTGCTGTGGTCTGTACTTCAATGGGAGCCTACATGTATGTGTCATACTTAAGGGCACATTTCAAAGTCCACTGCTGTTGTTGCATTCATTAATAGTTCTGCAGAAATGCACTGCTTAAAAGGAGAAGATGGCTTGAAATAGAAGGAAATAACATCTGAACTTGGCTGGCAACCTGCTGAAGTATGTCTTTGCCTCCTCTTGATCACTTGTCTGTCCCTTTCTACTCTTTCTGTGATGTTAAATGGATTCACCGAGGACTGGAATTCACGCAACTCTTGCAGCATGAACAAATAATGGGGATTTTTATTGCATATTTATTCTCCAGTGGCAAATTTATTTTTTTTTCTTTTCAAAAGAAAACTGTCTTGGACTTAGGAATGAGAATTTAAGGAGAATCTAAGCTTACAAAGTTACTGAGAGAAAATGAGTACTGAGGAAATGCTGCCTCACAGCTACATTTTCAAGACCCCTCTGCAAGCTGGTCTTGAACATCTGTTTCATTGACTTCAAACTGGGAACCTTACCAACAGCTTTGGAAAATATTTCCAGTTCTTTAACCTTCAAGGTTTGGTTTTCTGGGGAAAAAAACCAAAACCTCTGTGTTTGAATATGTTTTGAATCTAGTAGAAATTAGATGTTGACATTTGACATTGACAGGTTTTTTTCAATACAGCCTAGTATTTTTTAAAAGCTTTTTACTGGGGGCAGTGGGGAACTGTTCAGCTTAAATTCCAGTTACTAGAACTCATTTAAGGAACAAGAACACCCCTACTGACATTTGAAGACTACAACAAGAAAACAAAAAGACCTAGCAATCAATAATCTAAGAAATTTAACAGAAATCACCAGAATCTTCACAATTGTGGTTTGCATTCACGCTTGTCAATAGTAGCCACTGGCAGTTTCATATGCTGATTTCTGGCTGCGAAACTACTTGTCTAATGTCAAAAGCCTCAGAGCCAGAGGGCCCACTTGAGCATGCCGTTGCAAGAATGAAAGAGTTCTCTGTGTAGACAACTGAGAGGATTAGGGTGTGTTTTGGACAAACTGGGTAGAGAGGAGCAGCTGACTTCGAGCAGAATGACTTCTCCAGTTCATTTTGCTGCACAACCTGCAAAAAATTGTGCCAGCAAAAAAGACAAATCTCTCAAGAGGGTTTTTGAGTTGTGTGTTAAATGGTCACTAGATAAAGTAGAACTGATGTTCAGGTTCTGTTGTGCATGGTAACACAAATCATTTCTTACTTCTGTGCTGCTGCCTTGAGTTTCTTGAGTTAGAAAGTATAAGGAGAAACCACCAGATCAGCCTAGAGCCACAGCAGGTAGCTGTTGGCTGTGATGGAACTACTAGAGATGTAGAGTGACACTGTACATTTGACTGCTTGGTCTTTATGGTCTTTGAAAATGTGTAAATCATGATGGTGGCAGAATGAGAAGCGAGCAGTGATCTGAACACAGCATGACCTATACCTTCAAGGACAGGATGCAGTGAAGTATTACTGTTGCTGTTGTCTGTTTATTGGCTATGTTCTGAGACCTTCAGTCAGGGAAATTAATTTCCCTTCCATGTGCATCTGACCTATACAACATTGGTATCAACTGCATAACTGAACAATCAGTCCAGTTCTGCAGTTGATACCAGTTAAATCAGGCAAGGTATTTAATTAACATGGCCACTGTCTTTCTTCTGGAAGTGTGACTGAATTCCTGTTCCTCTTCAGGGCGTTTGATGTGGAACTTCTTTATATAGCTCAGCGCTTGAAAATACCTATAGCAGAAGTTGCTGTCAACTGGACTGAAATAGAAGGTAACGAAATTGTCTGTATTCTCATAAGGTTCCTTACATGTCAATCCAGAATAAAATTCCAAGGGTCTTCCTGTATTTTACCCAGTTTTGATAACACACAGCCTTCTTCCCATACAAATTGTGCTGTCCTTGCCAGCCTTCTGCCGTGGCTTGGTACAGGAAGAATAAGTGAAGAGTAGCAAGGAGAGAAACTCTCGGCTACCACTGAAGGTAAAAGTAGGTGGTTAAACTGCGAGGACAAAACACTACTTTGGCACATCCTCTTGATGTAATGTGTTAATAAAAATGGTGAAATTGTAAAACACTATGCAGGAAGTCTGACCATCATCGTCTATTGATTAAACTCCATTTGACTCTCTTGCCTTTCAAAATTCTCAGCTATTAAGGCCTCCTCTAGGGCACTGTCCCTTCTTAAGATGTGATGTTCTTTCAGACCTCTAAGGAGATCTCTGCCACTGAGTTAGTGGAAAGCATAGCTCCACGTGTATTTCTTGAGAGCAGAGCCAGCTAAGAGGTGCTGCTTGATTCTGCTCACTTCCCTCACATCAAATATATATGTATATACTTCTTTTTTCTTTGCCTTTTCATGTTTTTATCTATTTTTAATCTGTATCTCTTCTCCTCAACACAACCCTTGAACAACAGAAGGTATAACGAACTGCAGTGATGATGAAGGGTGCAAGTAGAGAACATCCTGAGCCAACTTTACTAGAAAAGATATGTTTTCTTTCAGTGCAGTTCTATATGTTTCACCTAACACAAATGTTAGCAGAAATGGAAGAAGGCATAGTTTTTAGTGTGAGTTCCTTACCTTGCCTGGAGATTGGCACATTTGTATTATTGCTGTAAGACAAGGTGGTGGTCTTCTTCTCCAAAGTCACTGAAGAATCATTTGCTTAATTATTGGTGTTCAGGCTCCTATTTACTTGAACAAAGCCTTGTCATGGAGAAGACTGTGCATCTTGTCACATACACAGAATTACTATGCTGCTTGCAAACTAGAGTCTCCACCTGTGGTATAATATAATTACTATAAAGCAATAAGTTTCATAATATAAATTTTCATTAATGTTAAGATCTAGGTTGTGGAGCTGAGTGTGCTGAGAATGCAGAGGGTCACGACTGCTTGAATGTGTGTCTTGCCAGTGCTTATTTTTTTCTAACAATATCCTTCTGATTTTCTTCATTAATCACAGGTTCTAAGTTAGTTCCCTTTTGGAGCTGGCTGCAGATGGGCAGGGATCTTCTTTTTATACGACTGCGATATATGACTGGTGCCTGGCAGCTTGAAACAAGAAAATGTAATTAGGTTATTTACATTTTCCAAATATATTATTATACTTAATGGAACATGAGAACAGTTTCAATCAAGTGAAGTGGTGATGAAAGCTGAGGTAATTCTTCATTGCTCCTGTTGTGTGTTTCACTTTTGCAGCATGTATGTGTTTTCTAAGATTTT